CCCCGGGACCCGCGCTCGGCGCTCGGCGCTGACGCCCCGCGTGGCCTTTCGTCCCGCAGACCAGGAGCTCCGAAATGTCATCGACAAGCTGGCGCAGTTCGTGGCTCGCAACGGGCCCGAGTTTGAGAAGATGACGATGGAGAAACAGAAGGACAACCCGAAGTTCTCGTTCCTGTTCGGGGGCGAGTTCTACAGTTACTACAAGTGCAAGCTGGCGCTGGAGCAGCAGCAGCGTGAGTCCCCGCGGGTTTCCCACTCCGGCGACCTGCGCTCCGCACGTTATCGGGCCTCCTCCTGGGCTGCGGGCGGGAAGCTTCTGCTGGCTTTGCAGACGAGATCGCTGAGCAGTAGCGCAGCCACCTCGGGTGCGCCAGGCAGAGTTATGTGTGTCTCACCTGCGCACATCAGAAAGCACTGTCTCTCTGGGCCTTGGCGCTTGGCCTGTGGTCACCAGTTTTCGCTGTTGGACAGCAGGAGTTGATGAGCTTGGGAAACGCAGTCGCTCTTCGAGTGATGGCTAACTAGTCATTGTGTGATAAGGGTCCTCCCGGCAGGGCCCACGCGCAGCAGCAAATCTCCAAGTAGAATGGCATTGAAAGGGGACAACTGCTGGCCGGCGCCTCCAGGGGTCTGAGGCAGGACAACTGCAAGTCCCAGCCTGGCCTGGGTATCTTAGAGACTGAGACACTGTCTCAGGTGGGCTGGGGGTGTGGCTCAATGTGAAGACCTTGGGCTCCATCTTCAGTATGGCGAAGAGGGAGACGTAGTCAGTGGGATGTTGCTATCTAACGTCAGACATGCCTTGATTAAGGACACGTTTGTGCCACCACAGCAAGCTTAAAAAGTACAAGAGTGTTTACAGCAAGGGCACCCATGGGATGGGTGTGTGGCCAGTGTGGAGGATGGGCTGAGGGGGCAGCAGGGTGTCACTGCACCCCGGGGTGGACGACTGAGGCACTTTCTCCAGTGCACAATACCTTGGCCAGAATCTAAAGAACGGGGTAGAGTTTTCCAGGTGGAAACTGAGAAGGAAGCGTTTGGAGCCAAGGATGGGTCAGACCTTAGGCTTGGCCAGGAGTGGGCCAGAGGGCAGAGAGGGCTGGCCAGCTGGGCCGGGGGAACCGTCCCTGAGGCTTTGGGGAGCAGTGAGGCTGCGGGGAGCCACAGTGCCTGGGGCCATCTGAGAAGGGCCCCTTGCAGGCTATGCGGTGAGGGCTCGGTGTTCTGAATTCGGGTCTGTCCCGCCCGGTGCTCATTTGCCATTGCTGTGGCTGCCTGTCACCTGGGGCCCGTCACAGGTCACTGAGCAGCAGCTCTGACTGCCAGGTGCAGGAGTAGTGGGGCCGAGGCCAGGAGGTCGGTGCCCAAGGTGATGCTGGTGACCTTGGGGAGTGGGGTCCAGGGCTGGCTCCTTGGGGAGTGGGCTGCTGCCCCTGTCATGGGGATGGATGGAGGGAGGGCCATGAGTACGAGCAGCCAGGAGCTGTGGGTTTGGAGCCCAGCAACCCCAGAAGGGAGCTGACAGGGTTAGGAGTGGTCATGACACCAGGTTCCTGTAGGATCAGAGGACAAAGGGCTTAGGACACAGGCCCAGCATCCCACCCTAGAGTTGGACAGGAATAGGGGAAGACAGAGTGGCCAGAGAGGAGACAGGGGACATGAAGAAGGGGCTGGGAGTCCCGGCTGTGGACTGGCTGCAGGAGGGAACCCAGGCTAAGGGAGGTTGAGTGGCAGAAGGTATAGGTACTGCCGGGAAGAGGGAAGTACCCAGGGTGGACTGGGAAGTGAGCGTGAGCACAGATTCCGGGAGCCCATTCCTGAGGGGTGACCGCAGAGTGACCCGGTGCCATGCTGTCTGTGTGCGGTAACACTCAGGATGGCTTCTTGGCCCTCTTCCCCAAAGCCCACCCTCCTGCCTCGTGGCTGCACTTGGAGCCCACGCCCGCCTCCCACCCTCTTGGCCTGTACAGCAGGCTCTCGCTGCCAGCCAAGCTGAACAGAGGTCTGGATGCCAACGCGCAGCCGTGGGGATGGCAGCCAGGGGTCTTACGAGGGAAGGGAAGGAGGGGTGAGCAGAGAGGTTGGAGATGGCTGCCCAGGTGGCTGGGAGCAGGGACACACGTGAGGCACTGCGAGGAGAGGCTTGGTGACAGGAACTGCCTGGGTTCTGTGCTGCAGGGAGAGAGGTCAGCCCAGGCCCTGGGGTGGCCCCCAACTGTGGGGTAAACAGGGGACCCTGGTCCCTGCCACGTCCTCATGTGCCCTTCCCCCTGCCAGTGATTTGCAAGCAGCAGGCACCTGAGCTGGAGCCCCCTGCCGCCCTTCCTCCCTTGGCGCAGCCCCCACTGGCACCCGCAGCACCCGTGCCTCCGGCCCAGGGCACCCCGTCGGTGGACGAGCTCATCCAGCAGAGCCAGTGGAACCTGCAACAGCAGGAGCAGCACCTGCTGGCCCTCAGACAGGTGGGGACAGGGCCTTGGCATGCCTCCGTCACTGCCACTGGCCTTGGGCACAAAGCCCCTGCCACCCGAGGTCCTGTTCTCGGCTGTTGTCCAGGGATTCAGCAGGACCCGTCAGTGCTGCCCCTCCCCCCCGCCATCCCGTGATCACGATGCCCCCCACCGGGTGCCTCGGCCCTCTCTGCCCCATCATCTGCCAGCACGGCTGGGTGGCTGCAGTGTGGGAAGAGGCGCAGTGTCCCTGCCGTCCCCCGGCCACACCCCAGCAGCCCACCCAGACCCCTGCTCACGTGTTGTGGGCCCTCCCCAGGAGCAAGTGACAGCAGCCGTGGCCCACGCCGTGGAGCAGCAGATGCAGAAGTTGCTGGAGGAGACGCAGCTAGACGTGAACGAGTTCGACAGCCTGCTGCAGCCCATCATCGACACGTGCACCAAGGATGCCATCTCGGTGAGGCCGCGCTCCTCGGGCTCCGGGCACGGCCTGCTGGGCCCCGCTCACCCCGCCACTGTTGCAGGCTGGAAAGAACTGGATGTTCAGCAACGCCAAGTCCCCGCCACACTGCGAGCTGATGGCGGGCCACCTCCGGAACCGCATCACGGCCGAGGGCGCACACTTCGAGCTGCGTCTGCACCTCATCTACCTGATCAATGATGTGCTGCACCACTGGTGAGCGGC